GTGTTCCCAAATCGAGACCTGTGTTGTCAAATGAAAAGCCAGAGATGGCAGCAGCTTGAATGTTAAAAGCAGTAAGACCATCACACATTCCCGGCCATCTGGTGAAACCTGACAGATCCTCAGTATTTTAAATCTGAAACTAAACATAGCCCCTTTCCCAAAAAGCACTCCACATATTGAAGAATGGAGATATGATGGAGATTTGCATATGGCGCCCACAGATGAAGATGTGGAGATCTAGACCCTGGCTTAGAATTCCCTGGTAAAGACGCAAGGCGTGTCCTCTCCATTACATCAGTTGGCTTTTGCTTTGTGTCAAATTCCCAAAACATAGCAGCTTAAAACAACAACTATTATATTTGCTCACAGTTCTGTGGGTGGCCGTGTGGTTCTTTTGGTCTGGGCTGACTCTACTGATATTTATCTGTGAGTGGTGCGGCTGGGCTGGATGATCTAGGATAGCCTCCCTCGCATGCATGGTGATCGGGAAGCTGGTTTGTTGAAGAAAGCCTCAGCAGGGACTGCTTGTCTGGGTTCCGTGTGGTGTCTCATCCTCCAGCAGGCTTCTTCACATGATAGTCTCAGGGTTCCAAACGTAGCAAGGGAGGACAAACCCCACTGCATAAGCCTCTGCTTGCAACACATTTGCTATTGTCCCATTGGCCAATCTGAGAGTCAGTGTGGGAGAATGGATACAGAAAGGCATGAACAAATTGGAGGCCATTACTGTAGCAGATCAACCACGTTATAAACCTGAGATTTAACTCAGCAAGGAACGATTGTTTCCACCTACTACCCAACTGAAGACAACTCTGTAACATATTGTGGTTAATCCTTATATGAAAAAGCAGTGTCAGCTAAAACCATAGGAAACATACTTGGCCGTTCCAGTGGCTCACCTGCTGGCCAGTGTGGTGGAAAATCCCCTAAAAGGCTGGACACAGGAAGTGGTTGAAGAGCCAGAGCGCTTACCCATAGCTAGACCCGACCCAGCCCAGAAGAGAGGCCCTTGCCTCCTGCAGTGCATACACAGCAACGAAGAGGCAGACCTGAGCTTCACAACTGTGAGGGTGAAGCAAGATACACCACCTGGGCTCAGAAATCAGGGGTGGGTGATTTCCCAGGCCTGAAGTGTGAGGCTATGAAGGTCTTGAAATGGCCTGAAGACAGGATTTGAGCTGTAGCTGTAGAGAGAGGGGTGTGGACCAGAACCCATGAACAATCAGCACCCATGTCGTTAGAGGAACAAACAAATGGGTTAATAAACTCCGCTGTAAGTCCTGTTTCCCAGGAGCAGGGAGGAAGAACAAAATGAGCTGACAGGAGATGAGTAGGTAATACATCTAATAACAACCATTATCTTTTGAACTAGCGTATTATGGGGATTATACTCTTCCTTTAATTTAGTACTCACAACATCCTGAGGTGATTAGTCCCAATTTACAAATGAGGAAATGGAGCCTCAGTGATATTAAGTAACTTGGCCAAAGTCACCAAGGTCATAAGGTGTTCACACCTAGGTCTGACTCCTTAGCCATTGTGCCCCATTCTCTGCACCGTGTTGCTGATGTGGTCCCACAAGATAAAGCGCCTTTTGGCAGGACCGTCTGAATGGCAGAACGCTGAAAGACCCAAAGGCCATCCAGGCAGGAACACTACAAGCTGTTTATGTAAAGGCAAAGAAGACCCCCCAAAGACAGCGTTAGCCTCAAAGAAGGTGGTAGAGTGTCAGAAGGTTGAGGAAGACATTAAGAAAATCCCCAGCGCATTTATTGTTGAGGGTGCAAGGACACTAAAAAAGAGAACTTTGAACTGTTTCCCTCATCCATGATCTTCTCTCCCCACTACCCGCGCACTGCATTCAACCTCCCCAGATGAAAAGGATGATCTTACAAGAAGGCTATTGAGAAGGTAGACTATACCCAATTTGGGAATGACTGAGATAATGAGAGATCTCTGAAATCCATGCCATTTAAAGATTGTGTGGCCTGTTTAGCCAGGAGCTGCCAGCCTTCTTCAAGTATCTGAAAAACTGTCACCTGTCAAGAGTTAACTTGTTCCGTGTTGATCCATAGGTGACAACTGGAATCCATGTGTGGACATGTGAGGGAGAAACTATAAACTGTGAAAAAGAACTTGACAGGCACAGAGATCTCATTTTGTGTCCTGGCACCACCACTTAATGACCTTGTGCCCTTCAGTTTCACCTTTCTTGTTTTTGTATTAGAAATGCGCACACCTGCCCTGCAGAGTGTGAGAGGATGTTAAGGCCCCACATGGTGGCTGGCTCACACTGCATCCAGTAAATGGAAACCTGAGGAAATGGATGGTTTTGAGCAGGTGGAAGGTCCTTGTTCCTGGAGGAGCAGGCTGGATGTCTGTCTGCTCCAGATTCCACCATGTTTCAAAAACATGGTAGCCGGTATTTTCAGGTGACTGTTGTTCTTCCAGGCTCATCCTCTGGGGATTCAGTCAGGCGGTAGAGCCGTTCTGGCCGGAGCACAGAGACTGACTTGGGGTGTTTTCCTGTGGTTTGCACTTGAGCCATCGGATAAGCATTGCCAAGGATATCTCCGAGGTCAACAATACAAGAGAGTGGACAGTGATCACTCCCAGAGGCCTCAGGCAGGGAACGCCAGGTCAGATTAGAGCCACCCACACTTGTTGCTTTATAGCTGGGGCTGGGTGTTTGTTAGCATCAAGGGTTCACCTCTTTGTTGCCACAGGAGAAACCTGTCCAGTGCCACAGTCAGGCGGGCCCACATTCTGTTTCTTACTCATCTTCCTGGAAGGTTCAGTGCAGAAATCCTGGCTGAGGCCCTCTCAATAAGCAGTGTCCGCTGAGCTGCTTCTGAGTCTGCGTGCGCTTTCAAACACGCTCTGATGGATGCTGAGAGGAGTTTGAATCTTGGAAACAGAAAAGGTTTATTTGGAGTCTCAGCTATGCTAAATCACTGGAAGGATCAGCCAGGGTCTTGACAGAATTACCAGAGAGGCAAGGGGGGGTGTCCCCAGGAGGAGCTGCAGATTGTCAAGGGGCACCGGGCACTGGCTGAAAGGAGTGGTTACTGAAGAGACAGAAGCACTACTCCCTTGAAGGTGTAAAGTTGGGGTCTCTTCGTTAACAGAGACTGCGGTCTCGTTAGCCCCTGGGCACACAGACTCAGTGGTGAGGTGCATTGCCGCCAATCTTAGCACAGGTTTCTATTGGTAGAAGGTCTGACAGGTCCCTTAAGGAAGTGGTTTTCAAACTCTTCTGTAGGCCCTTGGGGAGGGGGTGGAAGCCCAGGGCTCTCGGGCACCTACTCCTGCTTCAGCCCAGCACTTGTGCTTTTTTTCTTTTAACAGCTTTCAAAAAACCAAAACCAAACCCACTGCTGTTGAGTCAGTTCCCACTCATAGTGACCCTATAGGACAGAGTAGGACTGCCCCATAGGGTTTCCATGGCTGTAATCTTTACGGAAGCAGACTGCCACATCTTTCTCCTGAGGAGCAGCTAGTGCGTTTGAACCACCAACCTTTCGGTTAGCAGCCGTGTGCTTAACCACTGCGCCACCAGGGCTCCTTTTAACAGCTTTATTGAAATACCAATTCACCCAGAGGGTACAGTCCCATAACTTTGCATCTGTTTACATAATTGTGCAACCCTTCACACATCAGCAAGTTGCTTTATTGTGATTTTGTCTGTTGGGCTCTAAAGGAAGGAGATTGTGTTTGAATGGGAAAAAGATTCTGCTGCGAAAAACAGGTTTGAAATGACTTATAATCTGACTGTAGTTTAAGAACCTTTTCTGAAGAGATTGTGGTTTTCAAGTTCTGCTTAAAACCCCTAGTGAGAACCAGAAAATAAACTTGATATCCAAGATTGCTGGAATAAAACAGCAGCCACTCACTTTTTTCACAGAAGGGACATTTGGAGCCTCATTCTGCACTTGTAAAAATTTCTTTTGCAGAATTCTGATGTGGTTTGGAAGGAGCCCTGGTAGTGCAGTGGTTAAGCACTCGGCTGCTAACCGAAAGGTCAGTGGTTTGAACTCACCAGCTGCTCCGTGGGAGAAAGATGTGACAGTCTCCTTCCGTAAAGATTACAGTCTTGGAAACTGTACAAGGCAGGTGTACTCTGTCCTGTAGGGTCTCTGTGAATCAGAATAAATGGGTTTTTGGAAAGTAGTTTGGGAGTCCCTGAGTGCTGCAAACAGTTAGCACTCTTCGCTGCTAACTGAAAGGTTAGAGTTTTGGGTCCACCCCGAGGTACCTTGGAAGAAGAAAGTCCTGGTGATCTACTTCTGAAAAATCAGCCACTGAAAACCCTATGGAGCACAGTTCTACTCTAACATACATGGGGTGCCATGATTTGGAGGGCACCTGGAACTGGAATATGGTTTGAGGAAATTAGAACGGGTCAGGTGGGACTCAGGAAGACCCATGGATGCAACTGCAGCTCGTGCAGTGGTCCAGGATGAGAAGTCTCCAAGAAGCAGAGGGCTGGCTTGTTTGGAGCAGACCCTCTTACACAGCCTGCCTGTCCGTAAAGGCATTATCGTGGTACATGTTGGCAGTGATTGATGTTCAGGTTAACAATTAAAATTACAGATGACCAGGGTCATCTTAGCAAGATTTTCATCAAAAAAAGGTTGAAGATTTAAAAGTTGGAGGTCATACCAGGGCGAATGGGAGCTGATCCATGTAAAGACTTCTTTGCCTGGCACATTGTAAGTGCTCAATAAACTTCCTTTACATTTTTCTTTGGAAAGGTCAGGTCTGTAAGACAATCTCATTCCCTGTTGATGGCAGATAAACGAAGCATTCATGAACTGGTTTGTTCTTATTTATTTGAAGGGAGCCTTCTCCATGGGGCTTTTTTGGGGCAAAGACTATTTATAGCATGCTGTTGTTCTCTGGCTTCCCTGCCAGGGGCCTGTGCTAATTGGATTATTTTCAGTTGACAAACTTGGTTTCCACCTCCGAATGCATGTTTATTGCCTCTGCTTCATTCACAGGGTATGTTCCCGATTTGAGGTGAAACCATGACAAGAAGTTAGAACAAATAATAATGCTTTTCCGCAATCGCTTCTTGCTGCTGCTGGCCCTGGCTGCGCTGCTGGCCTTCGTGAGCCTCAGCCTGCAGTTCTGTGAGTATAACTGGGTCATTGGAGGGTGGGGGGAGCTTCGTTCTGAAATAGTGGGCCCTAGTGGATGGGAGGAGACCCTGGTGGTGTAGTGGTTAAGAGCTGTGGCTGCTAACTAAGAGATCGGCAGTTCAAATCCACCAGGCACTCCTTGGAAACTATGGGACAGTGCTCCTCTGTCCTGTGGGGTCGCTATGAGTCGGAATCAACTGGATGGTAATCGATTTGGTTTGGTTTTGATTTTACTGGGTAGGAGAGGGCAGTGGCGGTTCAGTGGTAGAAGTTTTGCCTTCCGTGCAGGAGACCCAGGTTTGATTCCCAGCCAGTGCACCTCAAGTGCACGCACCACCTGTCTGTCAGTGGAGGCTTACGTGTTGCTGTGATGCTGAACAGGTTTCCGCAGAGCTTCCAGACTAAGACAGACTAGGAAGAAAGGCCTGGCAATCTACTTCCAAAAGTCAGCCAGTGAAAACCCTATGGATCACAATGGTCTGATCCACACATTACATGGGGATAGTGCAAGACCAGGCAGTGTTTCATGCCATAGTGCATGAGTTAAGGGTGACAGCTAACAGCAAGCGGGTAGGAAACAAACAGGCCTCAAAGCCTTTGTCTTTTAAATGATACCGAGGTTTAAAACAAGCGCCATTGCTGTAGAGTGGCTTCTGACTCATAGCGACCCTATAGGATAGTGTAAACTACTCCATAGGGTTTTCAAGGAGTGGCTGATGGATTCGAACTGCCGACCCTTTGGTTAGCAGCCGAGCTCTTAACCACTGTGCCACCAGGGCTCCGAGGTTTAAAACAAAGGAGTCTTTTATTATCGTGCTAATGGTGGATAGTTTTAAGTAGGAATCCTAAGCCACTTTTTTTGGGGGGGGCATGCTCATTAGGCCTCATGGTGTATTTTAGGCTTCCTCATGCTCGTGGATTCTTAAACTGCCTGGTTCTTCCCAGATTCTTAGTTCAGATTCCCAAGGCAGAGACACTGAGTGGCCCAGCTTGTCTCCTGGTGCCGAGCAGCACAGGGCAGAGGTGTTTGCCCTGCCGGTTGGCTGCTTGATGGTTGGGTGTCAGTTCTGTGTTCAGTTAGCTGTGAGGCTGCAGTTGTTGGGGTGGGTGGGCGAATTAGGTCACATGGTGTCAAACTCCAGCAGGAGGGGCTGCAGATAGGAAGTTCCACTCACGTGGGTTGGCTAGGAAAGAGCCACAGCTGATGACCCCAGTCTGTACACCACATCATCCAGCACTTTGCCTTCCCTGGGATCCCCATGTCAGGCTGTGCTGCAGTCCATGCACCTCACAGCTCCTCAGAGTGGCCATCCTCAAGCACAGATCCTGCTTCAGGGCTCCCTTGGACGCAGTCCTTCAGCTGTGGCCCGCTGTCTTCTGGCCGGCCCTTTGCTCTCTAATGGACCCCTGTCACCTCAAACTCTGTGCCACACGTCACTGAGCTGCCTGGTGTTCTCTACACACAGGAGCTGTTCTCACTCTGTGTCCAGATCCAGCGCTTCCCTCCCAGCCTCTTCCCCACACTGCTCACTCAGCTCTTACTTTTTCTCCTCCAGGAAACCTGTGACCCTCTAACTGGGTCTGTGCTTCTTTCTTGTACTCCCAGAGTACCCTGAACTTGTCTCCTTCCTTGCACTAACCAGCAGTATTATAGTTTTCAGTTCTTGTGTCTTTTTCCCTACAAGACTGTCTGCTCTTTGCCCCATGTCCTGCTTCCCTCTCTACCCCAGGAACCAGCACTGCCAAGCACATAGTGGGTTTTTCGTGTTTGTGAAATGAATTCAAATTCATTTTGAAAGGCAGTTGTTATTGTTGTTAGTTGATGTTGAGTTGGCCCCCGACTCATGGCGACCTGCCTCATGGCCCCCAACTCATGGCACAACAGAATGAAAAGCTTTCCAGTCCTGGGCTATCCCCACGATCAGTTGTGGATCAAACTGTTGTGATCCATAGGGTATTCGCTGGCTGATTTTTGGAAGTAGATCACCAGGCCTTTCTTCCTAGTCGTCTAAGTCTGGAAGCTCTACTGAAACCTGTTCAATATCACAGCAACACACAAGCCTCCAGGGACAGATGGGTAGCAGCTACACATGGGATGTATTGTCCTGGAATCGAACCCAGGTCTCCTGCATGGAAGGTGAGAATTCTGTCACTGAACAGCCACTGCCCGCTTTGGAAGGCAGGCTGACCCTAATTCCCTTTCCTTCTGGTGCTGTCTACTTGAAGCTGAGAAAACTTCTGTATGAAGAATTGTGTTTCTCACATGAGGGACATGCTTCATAGTTCAGTCAAGTATACAAGGCTAGTGGGCACACCAGCCCAAAAGGAAAGACGAGAAGGCAAGAAGGGACAGGAAAACTGTACAAATGGAAACAGGGAACCTGGGCTGGAGAAGGGGAGAGTGTTGACACATTGCAGGGTTGGTAACCAATGTGGCAAAACAATTTGCGTATTAACTGTTTAATGAGAAACTAATTTACTCTGTAAACTTTCACCTAAATCACAATTTTAAAAAAAAAATTGTATTTCTGCTGTTACGTGACCTTCCCTCAGTTTCATGGCCTCACCTTGCTGGTGGGGAGACAAGCGGCTGTTATCCGTTGCCACCCAGGATGGTTTTGTGAGGGGGCGGTATTTCTTTCTCAATTTGAATGATGGAAAGAAGAGCAGGTAGCCAGTGAGTGGGATGTTCTGGGTGTGCTGAGGAACATGGGAAAAGACTTGGCATTTGGGAGAGGTGGCTTTGAGCAAGTTTCCCCAATCCCCTTTCAATTTCTGACATATTCCCACACACACCTGGTACATATGACGGGCTATTTCTAATAGTAAAGAGAATAAAAACTACTCGCTCCATCCTTTCAAATAGGAAGAGATCCAAAGAAAGTGGCATAAGAAGGTTAAAGGCACTCCAGATGGTTAATGAACTGTAAAATATGAGTCCTTTCCAAAAAATGTCTTATTCTCAGTGGTTTTCGTTGTTTACAACCTTTCATTAAAATTTTTTGCATCTTTTGGTTGGAGAGGTAGAGTGTTTCAATACCCTTGATTTTTCTCGTGAGGCCTGACATTTCTAAGTAAGATGTGAATGTGGGTTGCTTGTGTTTGCTGCGTTTCTCTTGCATGAGCTGGTTTCCACGTCACTGAGTTGGCCTGTGTGTTTTGCTTATATAACTCTTCTGAAAGTACCTTCTGTTTTAGGAGGGCCAATTTTCAGCCATACTTTATAAGGAAAATTTTGCAGGGTGAAATTAGCCTGGTTGGGTTTGAGCTCTTTATTGTTGGATATGTTGGCGTTCTGAAAGATACTAAGAGATGGACGTTCTTACTGCTCTTCTACTGCTAGGTAAACTGTTAGTTTGGAGTTTGCAGATTTCTGTGACAGTGGAGTTTAATTGTTTTATTTATTTAATTGCTTTATGGGTTGCTAATTATTCTGATGTAAGAAACTGCACTAATCCGTAGTGCAAAGGTTTACGCTTAAGTAACGCTGATGTTTTCAACTTTACTCTAAACTCTATGGACTTTTTCTTCACCATTTCTTGTGACTAATTTTTGAACATATAATTATTTTAGTCAATATATTTGAGGTCATCAAATATAACTTGGTTTTCTCCAGCTTTAAGTAAACAGTATGGTTTTGTTTTCTGAGATGATTGGATGTTTTATTTTGTCTTGTTGGTAGTTTTCTTTTTCTAATGCGCTTTGAATATGAAAAAGTTATGAGCCAGATTATGAGTCAAAATCAGGTTGTTTAAAAACTTAGTTCAGAAAGTGCATATGTGAACCCAGAGATATTTTATTATGTGCTTAGGTGTGTTTGACATTTTTCTGCCCTGCGGGGGTAGTAAAGAAAGGATCCCAAAAAGATTAAGACTCAGTTCATAGTTTCTCAAAAAAAAAAAAAAAAAAAATTTCGTTTTAAATGGTACTAATGACTTGCTATGTGTTAATAGCCCTTAATGAAAATCATTTGTTTTTTTCAAGTCCTGGATGTTTTTGAATTTAGAAATAATGACATTCTGAAATTGCTGATATTAGAATTGTCAAAGGGGAGGGAGTAAGGCATAAACATCTTTAGTGGTTCTGGTTAAAATTGAGGCATTCTTTAGCACAACAAGGGAAGATCTTTGGGATGTTGTCTTAGTCATCTAGTGCTGCTGCAACAGAAATACCACAAGTGGATGGCTTTAACAAGGAGAAGTTTATTTCCTTACAGTAAAGTAGGCTAAAA